AATATGGCATGATCAGCCACTTCCAATTTCAAGAGGCAAAATTCCTCGAAATCAAATTTTATGTCGAAGTCCTGGCCCATCAAAGTGTGCTATTTCTATGGTCACAGATATAAAATCCTCTTTTGATATAAAAGTCAAGTATAAAAAGCATAGTGGTAGAAATGAGCAACATCAAAGGATTGCAGTCTTTTGGAGACAATTGGAAAATTAGAGACCTTATAGAATTGGAAGCATACATAGGATTGCAAAACTTAGCAGGCGTATACAAATCGCAAAATTAAAGTATAATTCATTTGTGGGATGAAAACTATGGCAGACCAATTTTTCTGGCCGAAATGAGCTTGGAAAAACTTATGAACATATCACGATGCCTTCGTTTTGGCTCCGCTGCAGACAGGGATGAGAGACAGCGTGATAAATGGGATCAAATGGAATCGGCAGCTCAGGTCATATTATCACTTACATGAAAATGTAACAATAGATGAGCAGTTAGTACCTTTTCGTGGTCATTGCAGCTTCAGGCAGTATATTCCATCGAAGCCCGCAAAATACGGCATAAAAATATGGGCTCTATGTGATTCAAAAAGCAAGTATACCTGGAACATGGTAGTTTATTTAGGACGGGCAAGAAATACGCAACCGGAAAGGAACCAAGGTAATGCATTTATAAATTGGCTTTTTGTATGACTCAAACCTATGTACAGTATAAATAAACCGTCTCTATACAAATATTTTTAAGTGAACGTGTTGTTCTATCCATATCAGAACCTCTTCCCAGAGGTCACACTATTACTTACGATAACTTTTTTACGACGTAAAATCTCGCCGTTCAGCTACTTCTCAGGAACATTACTTTAGTCGCTACAGTGAGGAAAAATAAACTTTTTTTGTCACGAGAAATTGTCGACATGAAGGAATAGAACATGTTAGAAAGCAAACTTTTATTTACGGAGAATGTAAGTATTGTATCGTACGTCCGAAAAAAATATAAATTTGTTGTAGCATTGAGCTCCCTTCACCATTCTCCACTTGTTGATGAGGGTGACAGAAARAAACCTGAAATAATACTTCACTATAATAAAACAAAAGTTGGTGTGGATGCGCTTGACCAGCTGGTTGCTAACTATACATGTAAACGTCAGACCAAACGTTGGCCAATTGCCCTCTTTTCGAATATGTTAGATAATCGGCATATAACGCATACGTAAAATGGTGTCCCTCATGGAACACCAACAAGCTTTATAAGCGAAGACTTTTTCTTGAAGAGCTSGGAAAGCAAATGGTCGAACCAAATATTGTCCGCAGAGAGAGACTGCCGCAAGGAATCGCTGCTAAGAATATAGTAAAAAGTATTCAAGAAAACTCCATTTGCAGAAGAAGCGTCTACTTCTAATATTTCTGCCAGAAATTAATCCACCAAAAACGACAGCGATGTTTCTTCTGTCATCATACAAAAAATTTTAACAAATATTCAATGTTTGTAGTATGTGCCAAAAATTTGTTTGCAAGGAACACAGCAGCTTAGTTTGTGAAAATTGCCGTTAAAACATACATATCTCAACTATTTTCTACAATTAACATACACCTAACTTGATTCAAATAAAAAAATATGAACTCCTTCAATAAAATAGTTTTACTAGTGGAGTTTTTATAAGTGGGTAAAATTGTTTCCTAACATAGCAGAAGGCTTAAAGCTAAAGTTGATCTGGAAAAAAATATGATACATATGTAAGGTGTTCGCTATAACTTTTTCAACAATAAATCAAATTCTGATAATTTTGATAGGTGCCTTCAAGAATTAAATATGAACGAAAATCATAACACTAAAGATAGTAAATTTAGAATTGAACATTTAAATTCAGAAGAAATAAATTTGAAAATATATTTTATAAAGAAGGGGACAAACTTACCGTTACTCATAAAATAAAACATAGAATTAAAACGGTCCATAAGCATCCAATATATGTAAAGTCGTATAGATATCCTGAAATTCTAAGCAAACAAATAAAAGGAATGATCGAAAATCCAATCATTTCTCATAGTGATTCCCCATTTTCAGCACCAATTTTGTGGTACCAAAGAAGCCAGATGGTTCAGGTAAAAAGAAGTGGAGGATTGCAGTCGAATTTCTCAAACTCAATAGTATTACTATCGATAATAGGTATCCCATTCCAAACATGGACGAAATTCTGAAAACTAGGTAGGTATATGTATTTTTCAACAATAGACTTAGCGCAAGGCTTCCATCATATAGAAATTGATCCGCAGACAGAAAAAAAACTTTCTCTACTCAAATCGGACATTTTGAATTTTTAAGAATGCCTTTTGGTCTTAGAAATGCACCAGCCACCTTCCAGAGACTGATGAACAAGGTTCTAAATGATTTAATAGAGAGATATTATATGGTTTACTTACACAACATTGTAGTATTCAGTACGTCATTATAGAACACATAGAATATCTGGACAGAGTTTTTCGTGAATTAAACGAAGCAAATATGAAAATTCAGATGGATAAAAGCGAGTTTTCCAAAAGAGAAACCGAATCGCATATCATAACGTCAGAAGATATTAAGCCTAATCCTAATAAAATCAAAGCAATTTTAAATTATCCCGTTTCTAAAACGGAGAAAGAAATAAAACAATTTCTTGGTTTGGCGGGATTTTCTCGTAAATTTATTCAAAACTTTTGTGAAATAACTAAACTTTTGAATAACTGTCTCTAAAAATACAATAAAATAAAATCTCAGATGAGAAATTCGTGGAAACTATAATAACTATAAAAATTTTAATTATGGCATATGCAAATTATGAGCTAATATTTACTTGACGATAGATGCGTCAAATATGGCATTAGGGGCAGTGTAAAGTCAACAGGGAAATCYAATTTGTTTCGCTAGTCGCACATTCAATGAACATGAACTGCACTACTCAACTACAAAGAAAGAACTTTTAGCCATGGTTTGGGCTACCAAATATTTTAAACCATATTTATACGACATGAAATTTTTAATAAATAGTGATCATAGACCATTGCAATGGCTCCACAGCTTAAGGGAATCAAACTCCAAGTTACAAAGATGGAAGATTCGACTTAATGAGTATGACTTTGACGTAAAATACACATCAGGTAAAGAAAATCGTGTAGCAGACGCTCTTTCTCGTATTAAAATTACGGAAAGCTTTTTTAATGAAGAATATGAATCTAACGTAGACACTGTTCATTCTGCCGATGAAGATTCTGAAAGTTTTATTAAGATAACCGAGCGACCATTCAAAAATCAAATTAAATTAATAAGAGATGGTAAAGACTCAACTACAATAACGAAAGTTTTTTTTAATAATCTAATTGTAATTATATACAAAGAATTAACTACAGATTATATTAAATATATAATTAAAACTCATTTATTAAATATTAAACCAACAATTTTTATGCCCAATGATATTGATTTTATACAGTTTCAAAACGTTTATACTAAGACACTAATAACAACAAGGCACAACAAGATTTATCGGTCTACAAAAGAATTAGAAAACATTACAGATTTTTCAAATTTTAAAAGTAGAGTACTTGAAATTCATTTAAATGGAATTCATCAAGGTATAGGAATGGTTGCGAAATGTTTTAAATTACAGTATTATTACCCCAATTTACTTAAGAAAATCACCAAAATAATAATTGAATGTGAACTGTGTAATCATTGTAAGAACGATCATATTTAAATATATGCAAGAAAAAAAATATTATTATTTTTTAGAAACAGTGTTGAAGCAATAAGTAACCTAGAGATGCATGACATATTTAGGAGCATTAATTTCATATATAGTAATTTTTTTAAATATTTTTATTTCTTTTAACTAAAGCTATTGGAATCGGTTTTGCCGGAAGTGCGATACATCCTATATTTATTTCTATGTTATTGCCATTTTCATAATATACATTAAATTGCCTTAATATGTTTGCTACTAAAATAAAACCGAAACCACGTACTAAATTCTGCCCAATACACGTTCTTTTTCCTATACTGAATGGTAAAAAATATGGCATATTTTTTCTTATTTGTTTGACTTCGTTTTTAGTTTTGTTAATTGTGTTTCTAAAAGACTCTCCCTTTACCGATTTCTCACAATTTCTTAATACATTCAAGGTTGGCTTCGGTTCGGTTTTCTCAACGGAGTATTCCAAAAACCTTTCTGGTTGGAAACAATTAGGCTTCTTCCAGTACAATTTATTGTGATTTAGGTTGTAGTTATTAATAAAAACAATAGTGTCTTTTGCAACACCATAACCGGATATTACAGTATCTTCAGTTGCCACATGTGGTACTATCGGAGAGGACGAACATCTGAGGACTTCGAATATTGTAGCCATAGTAAAAGGCATAGAATCGATGTCATAAAAGCTGATTATTCGCTGTCCTTTACATGAAACTGAATCGGCCTCTAATTGGATTTTCTTGGCAACATTGGGATGTTTAATCAAATATATCAGAGTAAGCATAACTAAATTTCCAACCGCTGAGTGTCCTCCAATAAAATCTTCTAACATAAACAATATTGTATCGCGTGAAACTTTTTTCTCCTGAATGAGGCTATTGAGTAAAGCATCCGTAAAATCATCTTGAGGTTGAGAGGAGATTAACTCTTCTCTTTTATTAATAATACGTTTTAAAATAAAACTGCGGATAGTAGATGACCAGTGAATTAATTTACTCATGTGGTTTTTGTAGAACTGTGCCAACCATGGTAAGAAGTCAACCGCATATCCTTGGTTTATTTCCCAAAAGATTTCGTCGAAAAAGTCAACTACTTCACAGAAATCATGATCATTATATTCAAAACGCACAGAGCACATGTATTGAAAAAACATATTTGCACAAGCTCGTTGAACAAACGACTTTATCGGTATTGGCTTATTATTATTAATTGCTTCATTAAGTTTTTCTATCAGAATTTTTATCTCTGAACATCCAACATTTGACATCTTAATATAATAAGGAGATGTGTCCCGCGGTGAACAATATTTTCTCGCTAGATTGCGCCTTTTTTTTTGCAGATTTGACCAATCACAAAGGGCTAGAGCTGGGGAATTAAAAAACCAAGTAAAACTTTTATTATAATTACAGTATGTAATATTTAGATGTTTAGTACATTCAAAATTATTTCAACAATATTAAAATGTTTAACTAGGTTTTGGTCATTTTCTGAACAACATTGACTAAGTGTCGATGAAACTAAAACCGGTTTCGAACCATTAGTCTTGTGGTATAAAGTTTTTATAAGTTGGTAGGGTCCCACCTGTGTTTCCTATATAAATAAAAGCAATAGCACAATGACTGGCATTAACTCGCCACAAAAAAAAGTCAAAAGCACTGAAATTCTTTTTAAAAGTGGTATGGGAAGAACTTGGTTCAAATATTAGCTAATGAGGTTAAACCAATAACTCACCAATCACTCTATCGATTTGAATCAAATTTGGTGCAGAATGTTTTATTTATGCAAAAATGGGTGAATTCTTATAATGTAATTTAAAATCTGATCACATCTTTCAATTTGTATATATAATCCAGCACCAATGATGATATCGAAAACTAATTTCTCGCAAATAATATAGGGATTTTTGACTTCCCGATTGACTTCTTGCTATGTAATTAAGTGAGCATGAATATGAATGAAATCCTGATGCCCTTATGTAATTASTTCTGCTCCGCCGATGAGGTTTCACTCCTTTACTTAACACGTCGACTGCGAATGTATTACCAGTGAAATCACTTTTGTCATGAAAAGTCTACTCACAGGTGCCAAGAAAAAGCCACGGTAAAATTCGAAGATACATATATATTTGTTACAGTCGAATTTGCTCTAACTTAGTGGTTTCATATTATATAATATATGTGTAATTAGTGTAATTTTTTGAGCACCTGGAAATTATTTCAAGATATGACATTATTACATACTGGTACTTTCATAAGCCTRTGGTTCTGAGTTAAGCCAATGGTCATAAAATGGAAAATATCAGTAAATTTGTTGAAAGGAAGTGCGAATCTTTATATGATAATAATATGGCCTTATGCTTAAAATGGATAATATTGCTTCAGTACTTCCTCTATATACATATATCCGTCAGCATATACATAGCATTGACCCAGTAGCGGATACAGAGGGGTGAAATTTGAAAGGCCAATGTCTTATTATTGTCTTATTTTGCCAACAGGTGCTACTTCGGACTGAGTAGGCAATTGAGAAGCAAAGTCCTCTCTGGACAAGCAAAAATAAAACGCTATAAGTCACTCATAATTCCCGTCCTACTATATGGTGCAGAGGCTTGGACGATGTCAAAAACTGATGAGTCGACATTGCGAGTTTTCAAGAGAAAAGATTTATGGTCCTTTGCGCGAATATCGCATTCGATGGAACGAGGAGCTGTATGAGATATATGACGACATTGACATAGTTCAGTGAATTAAAAACAGCAGCTACGCTGGCTAGGTCCTGTTGTCCGAATGGACGAAAACACTCCAGCTCTGAAAGTATTCGACGCTGTGCCCGCCGGGAGAAGCAGAGGAAGTGGAAGACCTAAACTCCGTTGGAAGGACCAAGTGGAGGCGGACCTGGCTACGATTGGAATATCCAATTGGCGCCACGTAGCGACATCGCGTAAGCGGTGTCTACGCCAATTAAGAAGAAGAAAGGATATATAATCCAGAAATTTGCCATTTTATTTCAGAAACAAAATTAAAGACTGCCTCCATTTTTAAATATAGTAAATAATGCTCTTAGCATTAAAACTGAAGTTACAAAGTGTAGCAATGTATGAAGATTAAGTTTTTAAAATATCCAGGTGCCAAATTTGAAGCGACGTTTCTTGATAGAGAACTTGAAGAAGATGCTGCACTAAGCTCCATCTGAGATATGTTCGATTGATACATTCTCGGTGCTTAATCCTCCAAGTAATAAATCTAATCATAGAAGAATTAGTAATTGTAAAAACAAGGAAACAGTGGGAAAAGCAACGATACTCATCGCAGTAGTGTGCAAATTTCAATTTATAATTCATTCACTCACCGTGATACCTAATCGATCTGGTAATACGCTGCTTGTAACATTCCAAAATCGAAAACAAATCCATTTAAAGACACGAAAACAATGGCGGCAGAGCTGAAAGTTGTCGAAGAAAAACCAAGAATCTGCTCCCGACAAACAAAACAAATTTCTTAGTGAGAACTTGCATAGAGTATTACAGGGCGAAGATTTGAAGAAGCGCTGGTTTAGATAAGTATTGGATGGATTTCAGCGGAGTTTGCTGCTTCCAGGAAAAGTATTTGCTTTGAAAACGAAGGAAATGGAAAACCTTATTAACTGCTTAATAGATAGATTCAAAGACCTTTTGGATAAAGATAATGTCGGGCGACGTTTGAGYTGAAACGTCAACTAGATCACTGGCATTGCCATTGGGGGCAGATAGACAAAAGATAACAAATTACCGACGTAGTTATTAAACTGTATAAAGACTACTATATTTAATATAATAATCTTCATGTTTCAAGTAAATGTTTATTTCTTTTACCTACAGCCCACTCTTCACCGCTCAAAACATAATAATTCTGTACCCGACTTGTGATTGCAATCGATTTTAAAGATCAACGAAAAATGATCTCATACGAAACATCTGTATGTTCCCAACAGTGTGGCCTACATCTAATAGCTTTTTTTTAGTTCGTCCGCCTGCGCAAGCGATGTATGTTATATTAATAGTACTTAGTCTGAATTATAAAAAAAAAATACTACGAGAAACTAATTTAATACATAGATTCAGCGCTTAAAACTATTAGCAAATATATAAGTATTGAGCATCATAAAATATTATCTTACAATTATTTCTGTCTCCTCCAAAGAGGTGATGGTATCTTATGAAATTGGGTCGTCCTCCGAAAAACTTTCCATTTTGATTAAGTACTTCTTTGATCAATTCCAAATTATTTATAACGATACATTTGGTAGCTCCCAGTGTTAACGAATACATGCTTCCAAATTTTTTAGAAAGGTCTGTAAGTAATTCCGTAGTAGGCTTTTGGGAAACTAACAAATGTAGATTACCAAGTATTGGCCAAGGCAAAGGACCTGGCGCTTGTTGATAAAATTTGGCTTCAGTTGTTATCACTTTGATCTTACGAAAATGTTTATATAATATGAGGAGATACCAAAAACTCATTATTGCAACAGTTAAATAACACAATAAAAACATTTTCAATGACTGAAAACTAATCCACGTAAGTTTTGAGTTATGAACGTATCGTTCCAACTAATAATCTTATCTTAAATGTTTCTAAGCACATTGAAGAAAGTAATGCATACTCGACATTTTAAATTACAGATGTGGCAGTTTTCGCAATTATTTCGTTTATAAATATGTAAATTTCATGCCTACATAAATTTGATATCTTAGCATTCGTTGATATTTATATGATTAAAGTCATGCCTGTGAATTTATGTGCATTCATTATTTTGAACTGAAGCTCAGTAGTTATCATATAAAAAAGAATACCTTGTAGGGAAAATTTTCCAACTTAAACATTAGCACTTGAACATAAAATTTGTGTTTTTGAAACAGCACAAATCACAAATTTTCATGCCATTGGTGGGATATATGTACGTCGTAAGTAACCAGTTTCGTGTTAATTTTAACAATTGTTAAAAATGGGTTGGATCAGCGAAAAGATCGAATATTTTGATTACCGTACGTTTAGTGTGGGTCATCATTTCATGTAGAGCACACTTTAATTGAAATATATAAACTATGTATGTGTATATATGTAATCGCACATATTCAAACAAAGGGTTTTATCTGCTTTTGTATTGAAATACATTGGCACCTCATTAGTAACTCATAATGGACGATGAGAAGACAGAACCTGATTATTCTTAGCTGACCGCCATTCTCTCGTAGAAGCAAAAGAACCGTAAGTTTGGGTATAATCGAACATTTCAAACTTTCTCAATTTGTTAGACCGAAAAGCGGCAAAATACGTTAGGAAGGGCAATGAACTAAGCTAAAGAAATGCCGACTATTGTTGGCATACTTTATTTATAAACAAATGTTTAACATTAATCATTCGACGAAATCAAATTTGATATGTATTTTATTAAGTTACTAGCTGCCACGGCAAATGTTGTTTTGTCGTATATGTTACTTCTAGGAAATATTTCAAAATACAACTAACACTATAAGTTTGGTGGGATGAAATTATAACACAAATGAAGATTTGTAGACAATTAAAGTATATAAAACATACTAAAACATAGCATTAATAAACATTAATTGAGAAGGTGCCGCAGTCCAGCTGGTTGATGTCCTCGTTAGAGTGAAAGCAGCTTTGAAATTGACGAAGAGGTGGTGTGTGTCGATCCTCTTTTCACGGGTGTTTTCCATAATTAGCCGCACAGTGAATATCTGGTCACTTGTTGATTGTCCAGGACCAGAGCCACACTGATAAGGTCCAATCAGTTTGATGACTTTAATCTTTCACACAATACGCTCGATAGAACTTTATACGCAATGTTGAGGAGGCTTATCCCACGGTAGTTGGCGCAGATTGAGGGGTCTTTCTTTTTGTGGATTGGGCAGAGGACACACCATCGGCCCCACCCGCTTTGTTGTTCTTCTGACGGGTAATTCCTATTGGAACTTCTTCATGGTCGGGGAATGGAACGTCTGCTCCACCGTCATCGATTGGGGAATCGGGTTCGCCTTCTCCTGGCTGGTTATACATTAACTACCATTCCGCAGGCTATAGAAGTTTTCTACAAAAGTATGCTCCGGTATTTGAACCTTCTGCTAGCCGCCGCATTTTTCCTTAGAATTTTCGAGCCTTTCTCCTTTSGGCCACCTTGTAAAACTCTTCATACCCTCGAATTTGAGCTTCTTTCTTTGGCACACCTCATCGTACCAGATGCTCTTTTGAATTTTCCGAAAACTAATATTTCGTGTGCAGCTTGAAATGCCGTCACACAGTTCACTTATACCATGTTGCTGAAGAGCGTTCTCAAAGAGCAGAAGTGTAAGCCAAGTAGAAAAGCGTTCGGCAACTTCTAAAACCTTCCTTATGTACACGGTAGTAAATGCCAGAAGGACTTACTCGCTTCAGTCCTTGTCCCGTCCTTCGCATTTCTTGATCGGCCTTGGTGTCAGCCTTTTTTTTACCAGAACATTAACCAGCTATGCAGCGGTACCTTCTCAATTACGGGACTGAACATTCCAGGTGCATAGCCTTATATCGTAATCCTTAATTCGTTTTCCATGGTTGTTATCAAAAGGGGGATTTCTCATCCAAGGCTGGTTGTTGCCCAGAGTATACTTGGTCAAAGACCGGAAGTCGTGAGCCAATTCCAAGTGAATGCCGATCAGAGAACATTCCTCATCGATAAATAAAAATAAACAAAGTTAACCACATAACGCAATGAAGTGTGCAAAGTATTTGGTCATTAAGTTATTGGTTTATCGTACACTTACTAGTTTATAAAACTCATTTTATGAAGTGTGAAGCTTGAATAGTGTGTGGCAATGCTGTATTCGCTTCTTATAGCAATCCTTTGCAGTCTTTACAATACTATCCTTTAGCAACGCTATACTATTTTTTTAATTTTAGTTATAAGCAACCCGTTTCCCACAATCCTGTCATTTTTCCCATTTTATCTACAAACCGTCAGACCGAACGGACGTGCTCACGGACAAACCTTTCACACTGTGTAATAAGTATTGCTAGTTAATATGAAATTAAACTATAAATATCAAAAACTGGTGACCCCGAACAACTGAAACGCACAGATCAAGCCTAATATGAACGACACCAACATCGATTATAACTTTTTATCGATGGAATTCTGGTTCGCTGTTACAGGTGTGACCCACGATACACGAAAATACAATCTGGTCATGGCCCAAGTTCTACCAAGAAAACTAATAGAGCTGAAAGGGCTTTGTAAAATTCTTCATAATACTGATCTTCTGGCATTACTGCGGGTAGTAGTACCCTACTTTGTACAGCGATTGAGTTTTTAATGCCATTGAGCAGTAGTGTCTCTTGACAAATTTCTASAATTTGTGTTTCGGGAGGTGCGGTTGCAACTATCCAATTGCTCTTTTTGAGAAAGCGCTACTTTGGGGTGTGTTGGGAAAATTATTAAATGATGACTTTTGTGGCAATATACGCAATCGAATTTGCTTTCGCAATTACTTAGATTGTGTGCATTAGACAAGCAGTTTGTACAGAGTCTTTTTGATCTGACTTGTTCCTTTTGTTAATACTCAATTTTTTAAACTTATCGTAAGATTTACATTTATGCCCTCTAGTACATAGTTCGCATGACGTATGTTTGTTTTGTTCGGATGTGAATGATTGCGTTTTGAAAAAACTACGATTTAAGCTGTTGTTGTTATTAGCTTGAAGCTTCGATTTAGGTCTTGTTAAAAGATTTCAGTTATGACCATTTTTTGATGTGAAACATCTATAGGTATATCTATAGTATACATGATTGTCGCCTTGGCGATACGGGCAGATCGCCACGCGTCTATATGTAGCATATATACATACTATGTATATTTTTACGCGGCTTGCAAAAATCTGTGTCRATATGTATGCAAGCTCATACATTAACATGCTTATTTACGCTGGTTTGTTAGAGAAACTGTTACAGCTTCAAGGGAAGCAGTGTCATTTGGCGATCGTTTATTATCAACAACACAATGTTGAGACGCTTTGTCGTCGCGTCAATGTTTTCCCGTTCCGCTACGCGCGGTACAAATGAAACACAACGTGTTGGTTTGAGTCGGTGCTCCTGTGCTCGCTGATTACCATCTGATCTTWATTAGTTAATTCATTTATATTTATATTCTTACAATTCTATATGTAACGTATTACTAAAGATGTTTTGGCATTACATTAAGTGATGAAATGCCAGTGCATTGAATTTCCAATTATTCCCATTATCAAAACAAMWATGTAATGGAATATTGAAWTATGCTTACTTACTAAAACAAATCAAGTATCCATTTCTTATTAATTAAAGTATTCTGCTGACCAAGCAGTAATACTGTGGTAAGACACAATTTGTTTACATTTGTCGTAAAGTGTCTGCTGCCGTTAACTCCCCCGCCTTTAAGATGAATCGTCCCCGATTCAATATCATTTTCTGATATATTGTAAATTTTTTCTAAAATAGCGTTAYATGGCAATTTTGGGAATTTTAATTCTTCTTTTTTGCTTATTGGTTTTGTAWRATTTTTTAAAAATCTTATAGATTWTGTATATTATTATTATTAATAGTACAAGTATTACAATCATGTACCAGAAAAGTGAATGATTTTTAAATTCTACGATTCGTTCATTCAAAATATATATGTTTTCAAATTTAAACTCTTTATTCTTTGTTTCAATATATTCTAAAATTTCAAAGTAATTAATATGATTATTTTTTAAATTATTCCAAATTTTACAATCAATATTTTCATAAATTATATTATCAATGTTTATATAGTTTTCAAATGATACAAGGTAAACTCCATYTATGGCAAAGTCATCTACAGTATAATTTATAGAGACTAATATTGCCCCTTCTTTAATTATTCTATTTCTATATCTTTATATTTTCTTTAACTTTTGTACATTTTCCTTTTTTATTGGACAAAATATCTAATAGGCAAGTATCTTTATTATTAATTTTACAATAAGTATTTATCATTTCCGGTGAATGAATGTCTAGCCACAATCCGTATCAAAGCGAGGTTCTTCAACCTACCGCTGATTTGCGCCCACGCTCCGACGGAAGAGAAGGACGATGTGACCAAAGATGCCTTTTGTAAGTGCTTGGAAAGTACTTATGAGAGCTGCCCCCGCCACGATGTCAAAATCGCACTTGGCGACTTTAACGCCAGGGTGGGCAAAGAAGGTATCTTTGGCACTACGGTCGGTAAGTTCAGCCTCCACGAGGAAACATTCCCAAATGGGTTGAGGGTGTCTCCGGATCGAAAAACCACCARCCAGATCGATCATGTTGTGATAGATGGAAGACACGTCTCCAGTGTTTTAGATGTGCGTGCGCTCCGAGGTCCTAACATCGACTCGGACCACTATCTTGCTACAGCCACGATCCACACCCGCCTCTGTGCAGCAAAAAAAGGCACGCCATCCAACACAAGGAATGTTCGACGTCGAGAAGCTGCAATCACAATAAACAGCCGAATGATTTTCTGCTCGGCTTGCACTCCCTCTCTCTGAGAGCACTCGTTAACAAATCGGTATAAGGAAACTGTGGGACGG